CCCTCTCTGTCTCTCCCGTCTGTGTGCCTCTCCTCCCTCTCTGTCTCTCCCGTCTGTGTGCCTCTCCTCCCTCCCTGTCTCTCCTGCTCAGTGTGGGCAGTTTCAGGTTTGCCCCTCTGATGCCCTGCCCCTGTGTGTGTCTGCAGGCCCTGCGGGTGATGGGCAGGATCATGAGGGAGTGCTGGTACGCCAATGGGGCCGCCAGGCTGACGGCGCTGCGCATCAAGAAGACTCTGTCGCAGCTCAGCGTGCAGGAGGACATCAAGATCTGAGCCGGTGAGCGAGGGAGGGGCACCGCGCCACGAACGCCAATCCTGCCACTTCAAAACCACAGACTGGAGTCGTCAAGGCCTACCTCACCCTTTCAGCCAAAACTACTGAGCGAGCCGACCGCCCTCCCTGTCCCACAGTCCTCTGCACTGCCCCCTTTTCCTCCCGTCGATTGGGCAGGGACGTTGTACAGCTCTCTTCTTCGAAATTCCCTTGATTCCTGCCTGTCCCCTCCGAGTCGCCTGGTCCCTCCTGGGCTCCGGGTGAGCTGGGAGAAGGACAGAGCCAGAACCGATCTGCTGTCAAGCGAGGCGGGAGAGCACTCAGAAGATGTGAATTTATATTAATTTATTTTTAATGATTTGTTTTGTTTTTGACTGATTTCCTTGTTTAGGAATTATTTTTGTATTTTGTTTTTCTGGGTCCTGCGAGGCTGGGCAGTACTGCCAAGCCCCTCTCCCCACACACCGTAGAAATGTGGCCATCTGGCTGCAAGAAAATTCTGATGGTTCTGTTCGGTCGGTTGTGAGCAGGCGGCACAGGGGAGACCCGCCCTCCACGTATGACAGTGAAACGAGAGTGGTGACGCACGCGAGACAGTGCCAAGCACAAAATACACAAACTCCCTGCTACTGCCAGGTAAAGTCCTGGGCCTTGGCGCATTTTGCAGGGCCTGACACAGATGCTCATGCAGAAGGCCGGCATGTACACTACAGGTAGTGAATGGGCGCGCTGGGTATTATAATGGCACGCGGTTTGTGCAGAGACGTAGCTAAGGCTTGTGTAGCATTGAGGGGGGGGGGTCTCCGTTGTGCGCCCCTGTCTGGGAGGTGTTCTGGGGGATTCAGAGCCCCTGCTGCCACCCCTGGCCCATACCTCTGACGTGCAGTCCCTCTAGCCTCAACCTTGAAGAACCTGACACAACTCGACAGGGTATTGTGTAGTTCCTAAGTCTCGAACCCTCATTACACTACCATGCACCTAATGAAGTTGTGTCCTGGGTTTCATCTGACTTTAAGGTGCATCTTTAACAAGTGTTTGGTTTCTCTTGGGTGGTGGTAGGGTGATCGCTGGGCACCCACACCCATCTGATCACTTGAGCCAAACCACAGAGTGGCGCCCCCCCAGAGGCCAGACCTGAGAGATGCACCAAAATGTGCAGCATCACTAAAGTAAAGGGCCAGAAGTTCTGCAGATCTGTGCATCAGTGCTGGAGGTTAATCCCCACGGTGCCTGCAGATTGCTGCTGCAGTGTAGCAGTTTTGCTTTCTTGGGAACACGGTGGTCAAGACGAGAGGTTTGCATGGTGACGAGCTGTTTGAACTGAGGGTCCGGAAGGGCTCTGAAACGGTGGGGGATCCCGGCCAAGCATGATCATTTCATTGTTTCAGTTTTGTTTCTAGGGGACAGTAAGACCTTTAAAGTTCGTGAGTCTACACGCGGGTCAACTTTGAGAGTCAGATTTCCAGGGCTTGTTCCTTTCGGATTGAGCAGGACCTGTATGATCCGTTTTCTTAGTGTCCTAGACTTCCGGTTATATTTCTGCAGCTTGATTATAGACCTGTCTGCCACTATAAATCGGAGACTGATGATTGATGAATCTGATTGCTGCCCCTGCTCATTCTGACAGGAGCCAGATTGTTTCGGCCGACTGAATGGTACGGGACCTTTTAAGTCTGGCCTTGAGTTTTTGGGTTTTCCTTTTCAAACTTCTAAAAATGTGAAATTAAATAAACACCCAGTGCTATTGAGATGGAAAAGAGACACTTTAGTTGGAACTCGTGTAGAGGGGGGAAATCATCCTGAGTTAAAGCGTGTCATTTTTCCAGCCTTTGTATCCCTCAGTGAGGAACTGATCTGTGCAGTTTTGACAGACACTTTGGTTTTCAGTCGGTGTTCCTAGGGAACTCCATGCTTCTGCTGGATTTTGTACCAGCTGACCTGCTTATTACTTAATTGACACTTAATTTAACTTTATTCACTTTTCTCTCAAGTCGCACATTGAACATTGCAATTTTTTTGACACTGAGAAAGGTCATTAAACTGGTGATCCAGCAGACTGTCGACATGGATACAGGTTGAAAGACTAACTCTTGTGGGGAAGCTTGGTTTTCAGTTCTCAACAAGAAGAAACACTTTTATGGTGCAAAGCTGCATATGTTCCGCTTCAGGCTGTTTGCCTCCCAGTGTTGAGTTCGAACTGGATGCTGAGGGGTCAGGAGAATTGCAGTTGGGTTGTGTTCTGAGAACTGTGTCATCTGATGATCTCCCTCGTAAGTCTCTGACAGCACTCCTGCAGCCCACCTGTCCCTGACCTGCCCACCTCGCTGTGATATGTTAATACACTACTGACGAGCCCACCCAGTTATTGCAAACCCCACCCACTTGCCTTTAGCTGCCCAGTTATCTGACTCCGCCCACTTTTCCCTGACTGCCCTGCGGTGTGAGTGACACCTCTGGTCACCATCTCTATACCTCCTCTATATGCAAACTGTACATAAGTTGTAAAGTATTATGTTTTTTGGGGGAAGGAGGTTGATGTGGATAATTCTTATGATGATGATGTGATTGTTTTGTTTTTAATTTTATTTTTTGAAACACTAGTTTTTCTTTTTAGAAAAACAAAGCAAATCTGCTGTAATTTTTGTACATTTTATTTTTTTTAATGATTTTATGGGGTAAACTTGAAGGTACTGTTAATCTCAGAAATTTAAAACGTCTCTCTCTGATTTGTAATTTTTTTTCCTTCTTTGTAAGATTTAATACCTGCTGTTGTTTTTTGTAACTAGACACCATACAGCTCCAGGTAGTAAAGTGAAAGGAGCCTTGTATATATCCATTTTAATCACAGCCATTGTAGCAAGCCTATCATTCCCGAAAGATAAAAATGTTCCTTTCTCGGATCTCCAGAAACCTTCCCAGCTCAAGTCCTAGGGCTCAGGCAGCGGTCTGGGATTTTGATCCTACTCCTACGCCAGAATGGAAACACCTTCCACACACAGAAGTTCTGTGTGTTTGGGAGCAAATGACCTCCAGCACAACCTTCACTTCACTGGGATCCTTCAAGACACATTCAGAATTCGCTTGTAAAGGAACTGAAAGAGGAACTAGAACTGTAGATGGGGGTGGTTTGCAGAGGGCTGTAGAGATGCAAGGAGAGGAGCTGTCAGCACTGGCACCTGCATCTCATCAGCCTTTGCCAAGTCCTCAATTTGAGCCAGTGGTACACATAATGGGTATTGAACCTGCAACCTCCTAGTGCTGTGCCCCAAGTTGCTGGCCCAGCAGAAGGAGCCAGGTTAGCCCCAGCCTCTTTGTGACCCGTTGCCTGCCAGGCTCTTAAATCTGCAGCACTCCCAGCCACACCCAGAGCAGCTTTCATCTCGAGAGGAAGACAAAGGAGGCCTCTTCCCAGTGCAGATTTTAGTATCAGGGGATAAGTGCTGGTGGGGCTCCATCCAAACCCCAGGCCTGCTCGGTTTCTCTCTGGGACTGGAGCTGGGAAATGGGTTCCGATCCTTGGAATTCCGTTGATGTCACACGCTTTGGTGTTGGATGGCTGTATGGATAGACTTGGCCCTCTCTCGGCTCGCACGGAGTGGTGCAGTGCTGAAGGAACTGAAAAGAATGTAGCAGTTCCGGTCTTTACCCAGGGTTTCTGTACTCGACGCCACAGCAAAGTGCGGGATGTAGAAATGCATTGAACTGAACATGTATTTATATATCTGTGTGTGAATACTTTGGTTTTTTTAAAGAAAACGAATCGTGCAAACCACTGCAGAAGCTTGATCTGAGCTGTGTTGATATTTATTACTGTTTGTTTATCTCAGAACCTGTCGCTGTGGGCACACAGGCCCCTGGAAGTGGTTGGAGTTCTTTTCAGGTTTTCATCTGAGCTTGGCTCTTAACCTAAGTCGGCTGAACTGACCTGTTGAGTTTCTCCCAGCTCTTCAGGTAAAGTGATCTCAATGCCCTTCCGCACTGACCCCCCCAAGACCAGGACTGGACACCCCACAGACACACTGACCCCCCCAGGACCAGGACTGGACACCC